CCTCCCTCCCCATCCCTCCTTCCGTCCCTCCTTCCTTTCTTCCTTCACCTTCTTTTTTGGTGTGTGTATATATATATGTGTGTGGTTTCATGTGTGTGCAGGTATATGTACATATGTGTGTACGTGTGTGTGGAGACCAGAATTCCGGTATCGACTGTGTCTTGAGGTAGGGTCTCTCACTGGCCTGGAGCTCATGGGCCAGTGAGCCCCTCGGATCCACCTGTCTGTCGCTCCAGTACGAGGATTAGTTATGAGTGTGAAGTTCTGTGTCTGCTTTTTTGGTTTGTTTTAGTGGAGTCAGGATTTTCCTATAGCTCCAACTGGCCTGGAACTCACTCTGTAGACCAGGCTGACCTCAATCTCACAGAGATCCACCTGCCTGGGATTAAAGGTGCGGGCTACCACACCCAGGGTGTCTACCTTTTTTAAAGGAGTTCTGGGGATTAAGCTCATGCCAAATTTCCATGTTTAATTTTTTTTAATTGAAGTACAGCACATAGACAATAAACACAGGTGATGAGAATCCAGCTTGAAGGGTTTCCCAGGGTAAGCAGCACCCAGTGGAAGAGTCAAAGGTAATCAATACTTGCAAGCACCTCTGGTCCCCTGACTTCTAACTCCTTGGCTGATTTCTGCTCACCTTGGGGGCTTTGTGTGAGAGGAACTGGAGACTGAATTTTGACTGGGGTTTCCTTTTCTCATTCACTGTTAGGCTTGTGGGCTTCACCTGTATGCATAAAGTTTTGTTGTTGTTTCTTTGATTTTTGAGGTGGCGTTTTGCTAGGTTGCTACCCTCGGCTTCAAACTTGAATCCTCAGTCTTTACTTCTGAGGAGGTGGGGTTTCAGGTACGCACCACCACATCCAGCTTTGGCAATCGCTTATTTTTATTGCTATGTAGTATTCTACAACAAGTCACAATTTGTCTATTTTTATTCTATTAGTTCTGTCTCTAGTGCCTTAAAGTACTGGAATTCCCATTTTCAAATATTTATAGGTTATTTATCCAACAACCTTGATCCACCTATCTAATAGATTTTCTTTCTTTAGATTTTTATTTATTAGTTTTTATATAACTTTTTAAACTTTTTGTCTTAAATATTTTTATCTACAGAAAAGTTATAAGAAACATGTAGATTCATGAGTTGTTAACCCTTTGTCCCATCTGTTATATTCTCTCTCTTTCTTCTGTTTGTCTTTATACATCATCATTGAGCTAAGGTCATAGACGCCATAAGCCTTCATCTCACAAACTTAAGGAGTGACCTTAAGCACAAGGTTATTTAATCTCCAAACTGCAAAAAAAATTCAAGCAATTTAATACTTCAGATTACTGTTGTATGACATGTAATCACACAAAATTTGCTCACTGTCTCCATGAGCTCACTAATGGCATTTGGGCCAGGCATAGTGGTGCACACCTTTAGTCCCAGCACTTAGGAGGAAGATACAGGTGACTCTCTATGAGTTCAAGGCCAGCCTGGTCTACATAAGAGTTCTAGGCTAGCCAGGGATTGTTTTTTGAAACAGACTGTCTTGATTGGTTTCTGTTGCTGTAATCGACAGGGTAATTTACAGAAAAAATGAGAAACTCCTTTCTCACAGTTCTGGAGAACAGAAGTCCCCAGTCACAGTTCTAGAGTCTGATGAGAGCTGTTTGGAAGTCCCAGGCACAGTGCTGGCGTCTGGTGAGTTACTGCTTGGAAGTCCCTGGTCATGGTGCTGGTCTGGTGAGGGCTGTTTGCCACATTCTCGAGTGACAGAAGGTAAAGGGTGAGACAGCAGCCAGCCAAACACTATGTGGTTTCTTCTAAAAGGACGTCAACCCCATTCATGAGACAAGGATCCTCACACCCCATCACTGCTTGAAGGCCTTCCCTTCTGAGACCGTCACTTAGCAACACCTGAAATTTGGAGCAAAAACACTCAGTGATAGTGTTTAAGCCAAAATCGACAAGTCCACAATATTTTGCCATCCCTTCAAAACCATGGAATAGCTATGGGCTTCTCCCTCGATTTTACAGCTCTCTGCAAATTCTTAATGGTTTCCTTTAAAAATGTATTATTATTTATTTACTTATTATTTATGTGTTTGTTTATTTGGGGGCAGGGCTCACCTGTGTGCATGCACCGAATTGCACATGTGGAGCTCAGAGGACAACTTACAGGTGTTGGTTCTCCCCATGGACATTGTGGGTCCTGGGGATGGAACCCAGGTCACCAGCCTTGGTGGCTAGTGCCTTCATTGGCTGAGCTATCTCAAATCTTAATTTCATGGTATGTCTTAGGTTCACTTGTGAGATTCATCTGAGGTGTTCTGTGGGATCTTCTGCCCTTTATAGTGAGCAGGGTCTTTTTTCTATCCAGGCCTCTAACTCAGGGTTGGGGGCTTATGAGGAAGGGCACCTACCTTGTGTGGTGCTTGGGGTAGTTCTCTTCCGACCCGTGGGGCTCTGCCATGCTTCTCAATGCTTTGGACAGATAATACTCCAAACAGTGACTGATGTTGTGGCAACCGCAGTCAGTGCACCAGCCACAGCCATCCCACGACCCTGTCATAACGGGACACTGGATTGCAGGTTTCCTCAACACCTATGACACCTGGAGCCTCACAGGTCTGCGATGTCTGTCTTTTATGAGTGAAAAGACTCAGCAATAGTCACAGTCTGGTTTCCTAGGGTGCACCTCCTGTGGATCCCTCACAGTGCCGATGGTCTCTGGTCTCTGTTTCCCAGTGACTGCTCTTCTGTGGGGTCAGACTCCATTTTCAAAGTCTTCTCTGGAAGGGACATTGAAATGCATTTGATCTATTTTCAACACCAAGTGAGATGGTTCACTTTTTCTTTCTTAACAGATCAAGATAATACATTAGTTAACTTTTCTAATATCTCTCCAGTCCTGGGATGAATCTTCTCTGTCCGTGTTTGTGCATGATCAGATTTAATGCAGGAGTCCTTGGAGGGTCCTGGGGAGGATCTTTATACATGAGCATTCCAAAAACACATTTCTCTGAAATTACCAATGTACCTTGTTTTAAGAGACACCTGATCAAAGGGGCATAAGAAGCTCAAGGGATGGAAATCCCCACAGCCTTTTCGTTTGCTTGTTTTTGGCTTTATTATTTACTTTCTGAACAATTTTGCTAAATAAGCTAATTTTAAAGGAACAGTGTTATCTTTTCTTAGAGCACCTTACAAATTTCTAATTTAATTCTCTTTGTGTTTTTTTTTTAATTTAAAAATTAAATTTTGGACTGGAGGGGTGGCTCAGTGGTTAAAAGTGTATAAAGCTCTTGCAGAGAACCAACTTTATTTCCTAGCACCTACATCAAGCAGTTCGTGACCACCTGTTACTCCAGGGGATCCAGCGCCCTCTTCTGGCCTCTGCAGGCACCTGTACTCATGTACACACACACACACACACACACACACACACACACACACACACACACTTAATGATTTTAGTTATGGATTCCTTTTTCTGATTAGTTTCTATCCCATTTCTTTTGTTCCTCCTTTTCCTGGATCTTTTAGGACTGATTTTATTTTCAAAGCAAGCAGACAAAGAAAAGCCCAAGGTGAATGTTTATGTCTGTGTGCTCACTTTTCCTTAACAGCTGTACCATCTTGTCTGCTGATCTTACTGGTTGTGACGTGTGCATTTCACAGTGGCATATTCTGTTTTCACTCTGGTCTGACTGCCTCGTTGCCATCTGCTCATGTTCACTACTTATGGTCCAATTTTTTAGACAAACGATTTTCATTCATTTTAAATGTATGAAGAATTTCTTACTACTTTCTTTTAAGCTCATACAATTAATTTTAAGATTTTTACCCTTTGTTTAAAACTGTATCTGGTACAGTTTCTGTTTTTATGAATAGATGAGTTTCATACAAGCGCAATAGGACCAATTTCCTAAATGTTCGTGAACACAAAGTAAGTGTTACAGTCTCTTTTCCATTGCTGTGATAAAATACCTGATGGAAGCATCATAAGGGACAGGAGAGAGGGCTCAGCAGTTTAGATCGCATACTGCTCTTGCAGAGGTCACGAGTTCAGTTCCCAGCATCCACATCAGGCAGCCCACAATACAGTCCATGATGGAGGGGAAGATATGCAGCAGACAGGGAAGCCGTGGTGGAGGGGCAGGAGCCTGGAGGTCACACTGCATCTGCACAGAGGAAGCAGAGAGCGAACAGGAAGTGGGGTGAGGTTATAAGTCCTCATGGCTAGCCCCAGTGACCCACTTCCTCCAGTGAGGCTCCACCTTCTAAAGGTTCTATGACCTTTCCAGACAGCACCACCAACTGGGGACCAAGTGTTCAAACACATGAACACGTGAGACACGTTTCTCATTCAAACCACAAAAATTATTTTATTCGTAGAAGATATCACAGTGTATCCATGCATTGTTCCTTATTGAGTATATTGACCACATCTCCTGTGTTTATCTCTTTTGTCTTACCCTTGTACACTGGCCATATTGTTTTAAAATCACACCACTGCCTTTCTTTGAAGGGTTTTGTAATTATAACAGTTTTTGCTTTTGATCTAGTGTATAAAGCCCTGAGGCCATATGTCGGTCGGCATACTGAACCGGGATGTGTGCACTTAGAGCACTTCCATCCTCCATCACATGATATTTGCGTGGAACCCAGTTTCTCTGTGATTCCATTTCTTCTATATACATTCTAACATCGGTGTGTAGCATCCTTGTGCACCCGTTTATTACACACCACACACACACACACACACACACACACACACACACGCACACAATCACATACCCACCCCCATCATATATCTGCATGTAGCTCTGAGGAGAAGCTTGGAACTCTGCAGGTCTAAGCCACTTTTTGTCTCTCTGTGTTGTGCTGTGCTGGTCTAACTCTCAGCCTTCATGATGTTGGCTGATGCTCATTGGCTTAGAGAAATATGATTAGCTGACTTTTATCTTCAACACTGACATTCTAAATTTAATCAAATATTTCCCAGGACAAACTGCAGAAAATTCATCCTGAGGCATAGATCTGTGGCCACATCCTGTGCCGTTTATTCCCTTAAAGACTCTTAAAGGCCCAGCAGTGAGAAGGCTCTGAGAAGTCCTGCAGTGGAGAAATTGGTCTTTGCTTTTCTGAATGATTTTTCATTTGTTTCTGGGTGTGTTAGGGTGTTTCCCTAGGAATCTGTGCTGTGCTCTCAGTGGGAGGGAAAGAGCCACCTCAGGCACATGCAGTAGGTAAAGGTCTAAGTGGGAAACTAAATGACAAGGAGAGTTCTCTTTGTCTCTCACTTCCTGAGCAGGGTACCCTTCCCCTCTGCTTCTTTGGAATTTTTGCTCTGCACTTACAGGACCGCTCTCGGGCCCTCAGCTCCAAAGTGTCAGCTCCTTGGCCCTGAGGCTTCTAGATTTGGACCGAGTCGCACCAATGACACCTCCGCTTCTCCAACTTGCACTCGGTCTAACACGAGACTCCCTCTCCTTTTGTGACTGAGCCGGTTTCTCTAAGTCCCTCTGGAGAGCCCTGGCTAGGGGACTGTCCCACCCTCACAGTCTCGGGTCCTCGGGGAACATTTCAAGAGTTAGCTGTGTGATCCCCTGAGGACTCCGTTGGTTCTTTGGGGAAAACCAACATGACACTTCTCTCCTGATCTCATTCGCCCTTGAAATCAATGTGGAGCACAGGGCCCCAGACAGGACAGTGGTGAGCTCCTCAGAGTGAGAAGGATCACAGGGGAGAGAAAAGGCCCAGCTGGGCTAGCAGAGCTCTCCGTGGGGTCTGAAGGGAAGAGAAATCTTGCCAGGCTCTGGGAGGCAAGCAGGGCAGAGAGGAGGCAAAGCCTTCCCTAGGGTGAGCTCTTAGGGGTGAAAATCGATCCTGGGGAACAAACAGGGTTCCTGTTCCTTTTCCCACTTAGGCTCAGGGGGACCAGCCTGCCCATGTCACCCAAGAACAGGGAGGCACCTGTAGTGCCCCCCAGTGACCGAACCCAGTGCAGAGGGATCGAGAGAGACACGGGGAATTCTGAGAAAGATGTCACAATGTGGATGCTAGCTGTTCCCCAAAGGGTCACAGCAGAAGTATTGGACACCAGCTTGTGTGTTGTTGGGATGTTGAACATTTAAGTGGTGGTGCCTAGCACTAAGAAGTTAGGTTACTGAGGGAGGGTCCTTCGAGGAGACATCAGGTGTCTTCCTCAACAGTATAGTGGTACTATACTAACACTGGAGACCCGGGTTCCATCTCCCTACGGGGAGACCAAAGGTGTCATTGGGGCTGGAGAGGTGGCTCAGCAGTTAAGATCACTGACTGCTCTTATAGAGGACCGGGTTCAGTTCCCAGCATTCAGTTTCAGGGAATCCAAGGGCCTCTTCCCTCCATGGGCATTGGGCGACATGGGCACACTTACACGCAGGTGATACACTCATACCCATCAAATAAAAATGATAAATAGATATTTAAAAAGGAAATATTAGGACCTTGTTCCCCACCCCTCCCTCTTCCTGGAGGCCATAAGGTAAACAGGTTCGGAACCTCCACCAGACACTGCCATCAGGACGTCCTGCGTCTTCACAAGCCCAGAAGCAACTGGGCCAAATGAGGACCAACCTCTGAAGCTGTGGGTTGTAACAAATCTTCCCTCTCTTTATCTTAGACACCTGTCGCAATGACAGACTGTTAACGCTGCTCAGGTTTGTCCCGGGCCCATGGTAGCCACGTTTAACTCAGTCCCTGGTACTGGTTATTATTATTTTTTCCCATAACAGCTTCACAGTATCTATAATCGCATATAACATTAACTTTATTTCTGCCTTTGATATCTTCTGTTCTGTCTTAAATATTTGATGCAGATTCACCTAAACTTTCTCCTGTGTTTTGTCATTTTACCATTTACATTTAAATACATTGAATTTCTAATTTATTCTGGATGAAGAAGACATAGACACAGCTTTTTTCCACACAGTTAGCTTATGGATTCAATAGTATTTTGACATAGCAAAGAGAATTTACAGATCAATTTAATAAAATGCATAGGAAAATAGAATAGGACTCACATGCTTATTAAAGACTGGCTCTTGGTGGTTCCATCAAGGACAGCAGGCATGACTGGTCGGTGAGCAGTGACCAGAGGTGAAGGAAAGTGCCTTAGAAACCAGAGGGAAGGCCCTGGAAGCTGAGACTGCACCATGCTCTGTGGGGGGGGGTAAGGTATGTTGAAATCATGACATCATCAGCAATGGAGAGAATCAAGGGAGAGGCTTTGAGAGGCGGGTGATGTGTGCCCAGGAGTGCAGGGTTGTGGATGGGCGTCCAGGCCCAGTGGGAGATGGTGCTGTGGTCAGGAGATGTTATATAAATACCAGATGCTGCGTGGGGGGCTTATAAGGAACAGAAGTTTATTTCTCACAGTTCTAAAGACTGGAATTCCCCAGTCAGCACTCAGGTAAGGGCGTCCGTGTGTTGCAGACTGCTGATGACTTGATGCTAACGTAGAAGAAGCAAGTAAGCCCCCTAAAGCCTCTTATAGTTCCATTCAGGAGTGTTCTGCCGTCATATCCGGCCTCCCCCCAAACACCACACCACTTACGGCCATCACTCCTGGAGTGAGTCAACATTTTAGCTTATGAGTTTGGTTTTATTTCTGTGGGGAGGACACAAACTTTCAGCTCACTGCACAACACATCCCTGTTATATTTTCCTTTGTGTCTTGAATTGGGACTTCCTGTACTGCGAATTGGGTTTTATGATTTATCTCCCATCAATGAACCAACGTTCCACGACTGCTTGCATTTGACTTTGCCCCTTGCTTTATCTCGGCTCCAAGGCATTGCCTGGCAAAGAGGAGCTGGTCAGGTGCTTGAGAGGCAGCACCCAGGACCTGCACCTTGTGTTCTTCAGTCCCGGGCTCTTGAACCTGTTTTTCTTGAACCTTCTTTGCTGTAGTGGCCCAGCCATCTTCCTTGGCATCTAAAACGTTGCAGTCCTGTTTGTTACCCGAACTCTGTTCTCTCTGGCTTTGGAGAGGGTCTTCTTTTGAGAAGCGCAAAGCAAGCAGGAAGGTGCCAAGGCCCTGGGATGGGAATGGACATGGTATTTCAAAGGGCAGCTCTTTGTTTCACTTATTTGGGAGGCCCCTCCCCCTTTCTCCTCCTCCTTCCTGTCTCTGTCTCTGTCTCTGTCTCTCTCTCTCTCTTTCTCAACACCTAGTTCTTTTACAGACAGAATCCCCCTTGTAAGTAATTTGACAACTGCACCAAGTAGGTAGCTGTCATAACCAGGAGAAATTAGAATTCCTGGCGAGCTCTGATTGAGGAGGGGACTTGGGGTCCAGGTCAGTTGGACTGCTGTTGAGTGGAAAAATTGTTGAAGGCTGGTGGCAGCAGATGGGGTCATTACACAATTTTCTCTTTTCTCTTGTTGTTGGAAATTTCCAGAACAAAGAGTTGACGAATGCATTTGGCAGGCAGTTTTGGGGAGGTAATAAATAGTCAGAAGCGGACAGATTGTGACTATGGGAAGCTCACACCTGTGCCACTCAGCTGAGGGCCTGCCCTTGGAGCAGGGATCCAAATCCACCAGCCACCTGCAGCTCAGGCCCCTGCCACCTGCCCTGATGTCAGCCTTACTGAAATGGTGAGTAGACACAGGCATCAGATGTTTTCTGTCCCCTCTGCTGATGACCCCAACTCCTGCCATCCTGTCTCTCTCCTCCTCACCCCCCTAGGGTGATTGGCACATCTAGACAACAGAGAAGATTTTATCAATGACCTGACAGCTGGAAAAATCATATCCAGTTCATTAAGAGTTTAACAGCATGATCTGCATGCACAGGGACGTTCAGAACCTGGCTTCAGAGGCAGAATGGGTTGCCAACTATTAGTGGAGGAACCAGACGCTCATTACCTAAGGAAAGGTTTGAAGGTTACACTCCCTTCTTTTCCACAAACAAGTAGCCTTTTAAAAACTCATTAAAATAATATCTTGTGCAAACAATAGTCATCTTCTCCATCTGTGGTCCCAACAACTAATGTATCATTAGTAGAGCTCTGATCGCGATCAAAGTGGGACTTTGAATGTCAAGATTTGAGCATTTTATCTGTTTACAAGCAAGAATGACTTGATTGCCCTTCGGGTACTATCCCCTTAGCCTTTTGCATTCTGATGTTCCTTCCTTGGTGTGAGGAAGACGGGTCGGATTGGTGTCATCCCAGGTCAGCCCCAAAGATTTTGTCCCCATGAATATCTTCCATCATTTGTCAAGAAAAATGCCAGAGGGGATTAAAAGTTCAGGCTCCCCTCTGGAGGAGGCTCAGATGGAATCGGAACACTGAAGATTGTATTTCCACGCAGAACAGAAATACAGGAACAGCAAAATGGACTCCCTTCAATCCTCTGAACAGACACCCGGTGGAGACAGCATGTGTGAGCTGAGGGGGGGATCGACACTCAGTTCATAAGCCTTTTCAGGAAAGCATTGACTCTCAGTGGTGCATCAAACGCTTGTTTTGTTAAAAGGTATTGATAATGATAAATTGGCCTTGGGTAAAAGGTTTATGGTGAGGGGTGATTTTATTGATTTGGGCCTAGCTGGTCTCTTGGAAATGCAACATTATTTTCAGTATATTGATTGTGTCTAGTTTGGGAAGACTTTGCACTATGTTTGTCTTAAATTATATTTAAATAATTGATCACGATTTGTGTTTGTTAATGACCTTTAACTGAACTGTCACTGACCTGTGTTTGGCCTCACCGATCAATTCTGTGGGAGACTGATTAGTCTTTGCAACTTTTCTAGAATGCCTAGCATTTTTCTACATTTAAATTCTCTTCAATGTTTAATTCAGAAATTAGGGATTCTGGTTTACTTTTTTCCAAAATAAAAGCAGTTCTCAGAATGAGGAAATAATGAATTTCTCTTCCCTTCACAGTTTATCAGAAAGAACCGTGTCCCCACAGTATGTTAGCCACAGTCCCAAAGCTTGCCTTATTCACAAGGACACTTAGTTATGTTGGAGCAGTGTCCCCCTAATAGCCCCATGGGGGATGGGCAGTCCCTAGTTCAACCCATAATAAGGGATGACTAAAGATGCTCAGGAGGTGGAAGCAGGGCCTTGGGTCTCAGGACATGAGCTCTTTGGAGGAAAATGACCAAGTGAAGGACTAGTGAAACCTGTCATTGAACTTCAAGCAATGCCCGATTCTAACCCACACTCACGCCATGTCCCAGCCCCTACCGAAGGCCTGCACCTTGCAGCACAGCATTTCTAGGTAAACGCTCACTGGCTGAGTGTCTGGGTCCCTGACTAGACTGCAAAGAAAACTGTCAAGAACCAGGGACTCTGTCCTGGATGCCATGAAGAACAGAGTCTGGGGTCCAGTCGTAGCTCAGAGAGCACTGTGACCTAATGCATGACTCAACAGCACACCACAGCAAGGGGAAGAAAGATGTTTGGGTTTTGAGAGAGGAGCCGATGACAGATGTATACAGCGAGAGTGTGTTGGTTAGTTACTTCTCTGTTGCTGTGATAAAACACCATGACCAAAGGCAACTTATAGACAGGTTTCTTGGGCTTACAGCTACAGAGGGAGAGTTAGTGGTGGGGAGACATGGCGGCAGGCAGGCTGGATGGATGCAGGAACAGGAAGCTGAGACATCACATCTTCAGATGCAACCATGAAGCAGGGAAAGTGACTGGAAGTGGGGTGAGGCTGTGAACCCTCAAACCTGCCCCAGTGTTGTATTTCCCCCAGCAAGGCTCCATCTCCTAAAGCTTCCTTAACCACCTCAAACTGCCACCAACTGGGTGTTCAAGTACATATGCCTATGGGGGACATTTCTTTTTTCTTTTTTTAAGATTAAAAAATTATCTATTTTTATTTTGTGCTTATGAGTGTTTTGTCTGCCAGTGCACCTGTGTCATGCATTGCCCACAGAGGCCAGAAGAGGGTGTAGGGTTCCCTGGTGCTGGAGTTATAGGCCGTTGTTGGCCACCATGAGCGTGCTGGGAATGGAACCCAGGTCCTCAGCAGGAGCAACCAGCACTCTTAACTGCTGAGCCACCTCTTCAGCGTTGTGCGTAGAACAATTTTCATTCAAGTCACCACACGGTGGCGATTCTTTTTGCCACTAATCAGTCCCCAGCCCTTACATGCCAGGTAGAGCCTGGTCTGCAAGGCTCAAATAACCTCATGGGACCTTAATGGAAAGGTTTCTGGAGGATAAGAGAACTTGAGATCAATCACTTTCCATGGTTTTGTTTTTGTTTGTTTGCTCTGAAGCAGCTTCTCACTGTGTAACCCAGCCTCCTCTCAAACTCATGATCCTCCTGCCTCGGCCCTCTGCATGCTGTGATTACAGGTGTGAGCCATTGACTCCTGCCAGTGTCCATGGTTGTGTGTGTGTGTATGTGATTGTGTGTGTGTGTGAGGATATGTGTGTCTGTGACTGTATGTGTGAGGATATATGAGAGAATGTGTGTGTGTGTATATGAGAATGTGAGGATATGTGTCTGAGTGTGTGTGTGTGTGTGTGTGTGAGGGTATGTGTGATTTTAAGTGTGTGAGAGTGTGTGTCCCAAGCTGCCTATTTCCTCCAGGGGGCGGGGCCTGCTGCGGAGAATTGACTGTGGAGAATTAGATTCGGAAAGAGGGGCTTGTGTAGCCATCTTGATCACAAGCCAAATGCAAAGGGGTCACCGGTGCGCTCAAGAACAGAGTGGCCTGGCATTTATGAACCTGGGACAAGACTGCTGGCCCGTGGCATGGGCTGAGGCTAAGGGTAACTATGGGCGGGCCACGGGAGCCATCTGGAATGGCAGGCTCTGCCAGCTCAGATCCTCTTGTCCCTGTAGGCGGGACCGTTTGGAATGACTCTCCCAGAGTCAAAGGCATCCGATGCGCTTCTCTGAGAAGAAAACAGCTTCTCACTGCAGAGTGCTGAGAAGCTTAGCGCTGTGCTCACACCTCTCACCTATTTATTGAGCACATACTGAGTTGTGTGCTCAGCTCTCTGTCATGGTACTGGGCATGTTATGAAGGTAAACAAGGTCTCTGTTAATTCATCTAGTGGAGGAAACTGACTATAACAAGTAAGGGAAATATCTGCTTGCAATATGCAAAGAATTCCTTTAAAGGGTTGGCGGAGTGACTGAACTGAATTGAATTGTCAGGGAAGGTGGCACTCAGACCCAGAATGAGTATGAAGCAAAGGTGGGGTAGGCAATGATTTAGGAAGATGCTCTGGTGCAAAGGTCCTGGGGGCACAAGCTGGCTGGAGCAAGAGCAGAGAAGAGAGTGGAAGAAGGTGTCTGAGATCAGACCACACAGGAGTCCCAGGCCTGTGCTGGGGGGAGGTAGAATGTATTCTCATTTCAACTAGAAGCCAGGGAGTGGGTTTAAGTTGGAGTAACCTGGTCTGATTTCCATTTGGCTGTGCAGGAGAATGAATTGAGCTGGATGCGAGCAGAGAGACCCAGTCCGGTGAGGAGTCTACCGATGGGGGAGGTGTCCGTGCTAGCTGGTAGTGTGGTGTGGGATTTCTGAGGAGAACATCTCCGTGGCTGCAAGGCTACCCTCTGTACCCACGGTTATAGACACATGTGCTCAGTCTTACTGTGTCCCCAATTTTCTAGATTTTCAGGAAGAAAGGACAGAGAGAGAGAGAGCTGATTTTATTTGCATTTTGAAAACGTGACCTGTTGGCATTTGGAATAAATTATTCCAATATTAAATTCTCTGTACCTGCATATTACTTAATAGCTTAGGTAGGGATTGAATTGTTCTACTCAGCCCAGAATATTGAAAAGCATCCCCTGCATGAATTAATATATGAAGGCGTCTTTAAGAGAAAGGGACCCTTTGTATGGCTCAAACAATGTAAGATAGGCTTTAATGCCCTTTATCGTCGCTCACAGAAACCTTATTGATTTGTTAGTTATAATTAAGACGGATTTTATACCAAGCTATATTAAGCATTTTCCCCATCATGGTTTACCTGTGTGAAGGAATTTTTTACAATGAGAAGGACTTCAGAGAAAGAGAAGCTGTTTGTCACCATTGTCCAGGATGGTCCTCTGGTGCTGCTGCTGTCCTGGCAATCTGTGTGCTCAGCTCCCTCCTCAGGTGCCAGAAATGTGATCACTTTACAGACACAAAAAGCCAAGTGTCTCTCTGAGCATGAGAAAAACACTTGACAAACCCCAGTGGAGAGACAGGTGGTGAGGCGCCCGAAAACTGTCACAGTCACAGTCCCACTGACCTTTGGAGCCTAGGGAGGCACAGCAGTGCAACGCAACATGGTGTTGTGAGTGGGGCAACACTGGAGAGGTCTGCCCCCGGTGGCTTCAATAATGTGCCTAAAGACTCATTAACTGTAGCAAATCTCCCATACTGATCTAGAATATTAGTAGTCGAGGAAAACAGAAGTGGGTTTTTTGTTTTTTGGAGGGTTTTGTGGGAGGGGTAGATTGAGACAGGGTCTCCCTGAGGCCCCACCTGGCTAGGAGCTCATTATGTATGTAGACCAGGCTGGCCTTGATCTCACAGAGATCCACTTGCCTCTTCTTCCTGAGTGCTGGGATTAAAGGTGTGCACCACCACACCCAGCCAGATATGGGTTTTAACTCTGCTCATATTTTTTCCTGTAAGAAATAAAATCTATTTATCTATCATCTATATCTACTTATCTATCACCTCCCTGTCTTCTGTCTTCTATCAATCAGCAATCATCTATTTATATCTATCATTGATCTATCATCTGACTATCATCCATCTATCATCTGTCTATCATCTGTCTATCTATCTATCTATCTATCTATCTATCTATCTATCTATCTATCTATCTATCTATCTTCTATCATCTATCTATCTACCTATCAATCATCTATCTATCTATCTACCTATCATCTATCTATCCATCTATCCATCTATCTATCTTCTATCATCTATCACCTATCATCTATCTATCATCTATCTATCCACCCTGGGAATTGAACCCAAAGTCCTACAAATGCCAGAAAAGCACTCTACAACTGAGCTACAAGCCCAACCCTCAGTAAAATTTATTTTAATTTATATCTATTTTATTTATCTTTCTACTTTTATGTGTATGAGTGTATAGCCTGCATGCATGTAAGTGCACCTATGTCATGCAATGCCCACAGAGGGCAGAAGAGAGCATTAGATGCCCTGGAACTGGAATTACAGATGGTTGTTAGCCACCACATGGGTGCTGGGATTTGAACCTGGGTCTTCTGCAAGAACAGTCAGTGTTCTTAACTGCTGATCCATCTCTCCAGCCCCAGGAAAATTTATTTTTAAGATAAATGGGGCTGGGTAGACACCTCAAATAATACAGGGCTTGCTGTGCAAGCATGAGGATCTGGGTTTATAAAAAGCCATGAGCTGCCAAAAGCACATGCCTGCACTGGGGAGGAAGAGACAGAGGACTCATGGGGTTCGCCAGCCAGCCAGACCAGCAGAATTGGGGAGCTCCAGATTTACTGAGAGAACCTGTCTCAAAAACTAAGATGAAGCACTGCAGAGGACGCCGCCTGACCCCAGCCTCTGGCCCTCACATGCAGCGCACACGTGCATTTGCACATGCACACAATCATGGAACAAGCACACACAAAATAAAAACGAGTAAATGAGTTGCACAAACACAAAATGTAAGTGACCCAGAGACAATCTCGTTTCCTGACAGTTTTATACCAAGCTGCACAGCCTATAACAATGGATTTTATTGTAGATGGAGATGTTTTTACACAAAATTCAAGAGCTCTGTGACATTTCATTTTGTAAATGATGAAACCATCAAATGAATCCATTTTAATTTCATAAGGTTTTACAACAGAAAACCATCATACAATTATTTATCCACATTGTAATAGCATGTTAAAACTCTTCCTCCTCCATCCCAATTTTACCATAAGAACATGGGTTTCTTTTCGAGGGCTGTGTATGAGCTCTTCACAAGCTGTGGAAAGTGTCACATCCTGACACAACCCCACATTTGAGACTATTTCACTCAACCATCACAAAGAAGGAGGAAGAGAACAGTCAAGCTGAATTTCCGTGATTGTGTTTTAAATTATTCAGTTCACAGTGCGAAGAGGTGAGTATTTCCATTTCAGCTGGGACTCTCTAGTCAGGGATGGGTCCCGTCTTCCCTTTGTAGAATCTTAATGCATTTTTCAATGTAAAACTCAGTGCCTCTGAGGCGATGGAGAGATGATGTCTGCAAGCCTTTCCCTTAGGAGGTGCTTGGTGCACACTAGCTGGACTGAAAAAAAAAGCAAAGAGAGTATCTGACGGGCAGAAAGGAGGCAACTGCTGTGTCTCAGTTCCAGACCTTGTAGAGTGGAGATTCAAGCACGCAAGTTCCACACAGCAGTATCCTTGTGACCATCACAGTGAGGAGCTATGACCCCTGCTGTTCTCGGATCCTCTTACATTCTGCTAAGGATCCATATGGATGCCATGGCAGATCCACCTTTCCCAGGACTCTGCATAGCTGTAATCCTGCCTTAGGTTGCTGGAGCCTTGGGAAGGTGCAGAGCATCCATCATGTGGCACCAGCCCTTGGACTGAGTTTACATCTACTGCCGGTCTACAGAGGGTCTTAAGAACCACCAGGGACTAAGTGAGGAAAGAATGCCCTAGTCTCTGGCATACACTAGAACTTGACCCCATGGGAAAGGACATTGAATCAGATGTCAGCAGACAGACATATACTCTAACTTCTCCATGGACTGGCTGGATGGTTTGACCAGGTGACCTCCCTGGTTAGTAAGCCCATTTTGAGGCTTAAGTGAGAAATACATAAAAGTGCCCTAGAGGCTGGGCATGTGGTTTAGTTGGTATGGTGATTGCCTAGAATGCTTGAAGCCATGAGTTCTATTTCAGGTATCGTTTAAATCAGGCATGGTGATGCATTCTGGTAATCCTAGTCCTGGGAAGGTGAGGCAGGAGGCTCAGATGTTTAATGTCGTTCTTGGCTGCATAGTGAGCTTTATGCCAGCCTGGGATACCTATGAGACTGTATTAGTTACTTTTCTGCTGCTGTAATAAAACACCATGGCCAAGGCAACTTACAGAAGGAGTTTATTTGGCTTATGGTTCCAGAGGGATAAGAGTCCATTATGGCAGGGGAGGCGTGGCAGGAGGCGGCCGGAGCAGAAGCTGAGTGCTCACATCTTCAAGCATTCACAGGAAGTAGAAAAAATAAACTGGAAGTAGGTCAAGGATATGAAGTCTCAAAGCCCACCTCCTTCGACATCCAGCATGACCACACCTCTTTAAGGTTCTATGACCATGCCCCCCAGATGGTACCACCAACTGACCAAATATTCAAATACTTGGAGCCTTTGTGGGCCACTCTCATTCAAACCACCAAAATGACTCTCTAAAAAAGAAATCCAACAAAAATTACCCTCTAATTTGAGGCTACTCAGGGTTTTTAAGTTAACCCACTAGAAATGGCTTACCTTCTGCCAAATAGCACTTGATAATTTGCAGCTAGCATTAGAAGTTGCTTCTGAAGGTGAAGTTCCTCTCCTTGAAAACACTCATGTGCCACCTTCTAGAAACCCCTCTCAAGGCTCCCATTCTGCCCCTGCATTCTTTGTCCCTAAGGACAGTCTCCGACTGCATATTACTGATGGTCTCTGAGCCATGACAAAGGCCTCTGAGGGACCTGATGATTGATATTTGTCACTCACCCCTTTATGGCCACTGAGAGGACGATTATGGGGAGACTGTCCATATGTGACTGTTTTCTGTGGAGGCCTGAATGGTTGCTTGGTTCCTGCCGGGGTCCACTGATCCCAGAAGGAGGGGCTGCATCTCCTCTGGCTTTGTATTTGCAACATGCTCTGTGAGTTGTCTTAGCCAGCTCGATGCTCTACGCTGGGCCACGCAACGGCCGCGAGCAATTGTTCAGGTTCAAGGGCCTTTCAGGGACTCAGGCTGGAGACGGTACCAACCATTGTAAACACATGGCTTCCAAGTCCACCATGGTGACCTCCAATCTAGTCAGTCAGAGAGGAGCAAGGCTATGAAGACGTGTCCTGACCATGGCCCTGTGGGCCAGCTTAGGAAAGACACACTTGTTTTCATATACCATTGACCAGAAGCCAGGCACATGGCTGACCTCCCCAAAGGAGGGCCGGAGGTGCGCTCCACTGCTCTCTCGGGGAGAAAGACCCAGGCTTTCTGTTAACAGCTATTTGCTAAGTTCTCTGTTTAGTGAGGAGTAAGTATTCAGCAAGCACTTGGATCCAATGAATAGTTTAAGAAGTTTAATGATGGTGATACACAAAAATAACATGAATGTGGTCCTTTGAGAATCTGCTGAAAGGAACTGACTTTCCTCCTAGGTTCTCAGGATCTCATCAGGCACATTTCACCTGATCGTGTCCTCACTGTGCGCTGGACACTGAGCTCTGTGCGAAAGCTTTGACTTCTGAATAATGCCAGGTTTCTGCCTTCAGAGCGCTTACAGCCTGGGTCCCGGGGAGCATCAGTCGTCTTTGTGTTAAACTAGACGCTTTTGCACTAGAGAGTCACATACTGTTGTCTTCATACCCGGAGTTGCATCCGCCTCAATGGATTTATCTAAGATCCTTTCAGTGCAGAGGCATATGTTGAAGCCCTTGATGGAATATTAATCAAACGTTTCTTCCAAGGCTCTGCAGTCTGATTGAAAATGTGCCTGTGTAAGTAGCCTTTTTAGGAAAATTACAGATCTCATACTGAAGCAAGTAATCAAGCCTTCCCACCGCCCCACAATGGAAAAGCAGAGGTGACGGCATATCCAAATGAAAAGCTGGGCCATCTCACTCCAACCAGGATGTGGAGCTAGGCCAATTACAGACTAGCTTGCAAAGCTACTGAAGTTTGCTTTTTGTCTCTTTTAGGAGATAATTATTAGGAAATATCCTGAGCTGCCTCGCTGCCTTGTGAGGGTCAGAGACAGCTGCCGATGGGCTTGCAGAGCATCATGATACCACCTTGCAGTACTAGTTTATACATAAGATGTGGGAGTTAGAGTCAGGAGCAGTGGGGCATGAGACAGTCACGGGGAGGAGCAGTCTGCACAGGTGGAACTGGTCAGGGCCAGTGTGTCTGTGAGGGGTAGAAGACTGACTGACACCTTTGTACAGATATGCCTTCAGGTCCTTAGCAAGAATGTGAAGCATGGAGGAAGGAAGGTCTGGAAAGTCTGCCA